CACCATCATCACCATCCTCACCACCATCACCATCACCACCATCATCATCACCAAGACCATCATCACCACCACCATCACCACCATCACCACCACCATCATCATCACCACCACCATCACCATCATTACTATCAACACCATCACCATGACTATCACCACCATCATCACCGTCATCACCATCATCACCACCATCACCACCATCACCATCATTACTATCATCACCACCACCATCACCATCATTACTATCATCACCATCACCATGACTATCACCACCATCACCACCACCATCACCATCATTACTATCATCACCATCACCATCACCACCACCATCACCACCATCATCACCATCATCATCACCACCATCACCATCATCACCATCATTACTATCATCAACATCATCACCAGCACCACCACCACCATCACCATCATTACTCTCATCACCACCATCATCACCATCATCACCACCATCACCACCATCATCACCACCATCACCACCATCATCACCATCATCACCACCATCATCACCATCACCACGACCACCACCATCATTACTATCATCACCATCACCACGACCACCACCATCATTACTATCATCACCATCACCATGACCATCACCATCATCGTAACTGTCACTATCACTACCAGCAGCACCATCACTACTACACATTTCCTAATGTTAGATCCTGTGCTAAGTACTTGTGGGCATTTTCTCATTTAATTTCTATGGCATTGCTGGGAGGTAGCAGTTTTGAAACCAGATCTGTTGGACACATGGTCTCTTACTCACTTAGAGACTCAGAGGAGCTAGAATCCTGCTATTACCATTTCTTCTTCATCAGCCACCATCCTATTCCTCCTCATTCCTGTGGTGATCTGTCATGTTTGTGTAATGCTTTATTATTCCTTATAAAGCACTTCCTCAAATATTGAATGATTTCTTCCACTGCTATCTTTTCAAATAATTACAATAATTATAATTTTCCACATGAGGAACCTGAGACTCAGCAAGTTAAGTGACTTGCCCTCCCCCATCTACCTTAGATTCTGAACTCATTTTCTTACAATATTGTAGAGGAATGGGGTCGGGAAGGAACACAGGAGAGCTCCTCTGCTTGCAGTGAGTGGCCAAGTCCTCATAACTGCTGACTTAGAGCTTTGCGTCCCATCCTGGCAATTCCAACTCATTAGCTCTCGGGCAGCACCAGGGACTCTGTATATCCAATATGTTTTTGTCACATCTCTCGGTATTGCTGGGGCTTCATGGAAGAGGTGGCACTGGCCTGGGGTAGAATTTTGACAGCTTGAAATGGAGTGTGGGTGTTACAGACAGAGGTGGCAGCATGAGCCGATTCTCCGAGGCCAGAAGTCCTAAGGGGTTGTTTGGGACCAAGCTGAGCAGCTCACTTGAGCTGTTGCTTAGGGATGGGACCATGGATGCTGGACACTAGATCAAAAGGCATGTTAGAGTCACAGGGTCATCGATTTCCAAATAAAACAGCTCAAATGTTACATCTTTCAGATAAGGAGGAACCTCTGACTGTTTTAGAGGCAGAAGGTAACTCGGACAGAACTTTCTCCCTTTAGGAAGATCGCCTGCCAGTATAGGGTAAATGTATAGACAAGTAATGAAATTTGTAGAAGGCACAGGTTGGCCCAGAAAAGTCTGGAGGGAAAGTACTGGGCATGTGAGCAGGGTTGACTACTGTGGTTGCAGGCAGGCAGGCAGGATGGGCGGACAGATGGACAGATAGACTGACGGAAGGAAGGGAAGGAGGGAGGGAGGGAGGATGGAAGGAAGGGAGGATGGAAGGAAGGAAGGAAGGAAGGAAGGAAGGAAGGAAGGCAGGCTTTGAAGGGCACTGGGGGCAGCTCCGGATGCTATGGGTGGAGAAGATGTGAATATGAGTGCTGGAGCTGGCCAGAGACATTACCCTAATATTTCTGTGGGTGATGCCCTTTCATGGGTGACCCGTGAAAGATGATGCCACATTGTGACCACAGCTATGATCACAAATTTCTTCTTTTCCTTTGGCCTCTTCCCACCTTCTTGCTTTTTCCTTCTTGCTGAAACCCTAATGCCGAGATGTTTGCTTCTCTAGGTGCTCTTGCTTCTGTCTTTCTCTCCCTCCCTGGACCCCTGCTCTCTGCACATAATTCTCCTTTTCCAGATCACATCTTTTTACTTCCCTGGTATAGGAGCAACTCCTGCCTCCACGCCTCCTACAGATTTCATGAGCATCTCAGGGGCTCATCCCTCTGAGCGTTAGCGGTGTCGTTACACAAGGTCCCCAAACTTGAGGGAAGCGGGGAGCTGCTGAGAGCTTGCACCCCCTCTGAAGATGGTGAGTCATCTGAGGAGGGACACCGGCATGCACCCCAATCAAATCGTCCCATTAGTTAGTAATCCTGCTCAACCACACCCCAGACCTTCACATCCTTCCTGCTTCCCTCTGATCTTTTCGTACTAACCAGTCAATGATCCATTTCTCCGTTTCTTCCACTCAACAGAGTTACTTTGCTGGCCCAGGTTCTGAATTCTGATGGCTCCTCACCAGGCCATTCCACCGACCTTGAGGGAAAATGGTTTATTCATCTTGTAAATAACTCGTGACTCTCAGTGGAATAACGTGGCAGCAAGTGGAGGGGGTGCCTGTCTAGATACCAAATTGAAGATGTCTGGTTTCCATCCCCTGAGGAAGGGGAGCTAGCAGCTCTTAGCTCTCTTGCGATCAGCTCCCCGATGTTTGCCTTCATCAGAGCAGGATCGGATGGAGGCAGACACAAATGCCTCCAGGCCTGGCTCATTTCTGAAGGTGTCTGGGACCACAGTTTGAATTCTACCCGACAAGTGTCAGGAAACACATTCTGACCTAGGCCTCACTACACCTCCGGGCCGCTGTGTTCCGTGGCTCAGGGCCTGCTGATCAGGGCTTCTGAATCAGGTCGGCCTGCTCTCTCTGCAAGCCCACAGATCACCAGGTTGTACCTTCCTGTTCTCATGCGGCCCCTCCCTACCCCTGTGGCTGCTTCCCCTGCCATTGTCTAGACTCAGTCCCAAAGCAACAATTTATTTATCCAGCCCACAAATGTTTATTGAGTTTCCACCATGTGATGGGCACTGTTCTGGGCCCACGGGGAGAGCTTTGAACAAAAACAGAGCCAGGCCTTGTTTCCAGAAGGCTCGCAGCCAGGACGGGCAGGCAGGGAATGACCAAATACATATGTACATCGGCAGTGTATCTGAAGCTCCTTAGAGAACATTCCCTCTTCCAGCTCACCCAGACTTCCGCCTTGTGCCACCGTAAATCCCCGAGCCTGGAATTGAGCTGCGTCGATGAGACCCTGCCACGGCGTCCTGTGGAAGAGGCGCCTTGTTTTGTGGCCGTTGTCTGACGCAGAGGTGGATTGCTCGGCAGCTCGGCATCACCCCACTGCCCTGTGGATGGGGCCACTTCTGGGAGGTGGGGGATGGAGGGGTCCCAGATGCCGTATCCTGGGCTGTGCATGCTCTAAGTGCTTGTGGAGCGTGGACAGGAGGATGAGGAGGGGATCAGCGGCACACCCCCTGGGCCCGGCTGGGCACAGACTGAGGCAACGGGGAGGCCTCATATGGGTGATCTGACCTCATGAGGGAAACTGTAAGGAGCGAAACTAAAAGGCCGTCATTCCGTCATCCTGATACTGCCTCATATGACACATGCTCTATGCTGGACACCTCAAACCGACCAGCACACCCTTACCGTCCGGAGAGACGGACTCTGAGGTTTAATGAGGTTGGTGAGCCCCACACGATGACCCGCTGGGGTCATGGCAGCAGATCGAGTCTGACAGTGGCAGACTGGAAGTGGCCGCCACGCCCCGCCCGTCTGTGTAAGCCACTTCACCCTTACGGTGAACCTTGTGTAGCGGTGAGAACAGGCTGACTGTCCGCGCGCTCACACAGGATGCCCCCGAGTCAGCTGGGAGTGGAAACAAGCAAAGCTATCTGAAGATTGAAGGATGTGCTATGGTTTGTAAAGAAAAAGAGAGGGAGGACCGAGGGAATGTGTGTGTGCGTGTGCATGCGTGTGTGTGCGTATGAGATGCTTGCCTATACACAGCACACCTCTGGAAAGACAAGCCAACGTCAGGTAGGGTTAGTTGCTTTCAGAGAAAGGAGCTGAGTGGCTGACGGTGGGATAAGGAGACACTTCTCAAGTATCCCCTCCTGTACCTTTTAAACTTTGGGCCACGTGTCAGCAAATCCATCTAAGTCATGCAGCTGGGATCCAAAGCTGAACCTGCCTGACCCCAAAGCCTGAGTCTTCAGCCCCAATCCCATGCTGCTCCCTTGGAGGGCATCCCAGCCGGTGGGGGGCCCCCTGTTCACCTGTGAGCTTGAGAAATCAAGATGGACATTTCCACTGACATGTTATTACACGGATTCTGGGTGCTACTTGCCTGCTGTTGATTTTGGCTTCTTCTTTTGTACGCAGGGGAGGAAAGGTGAAGTGGGCCCACCGGGAACCCCTGGATTGCTGGGGCCACAGGTAACTACCAGCTCTGCACGCCCTTCCCTAGCGACTCTGCTTCCTCTGGTGGAAGAAGCAATCGGGTCGCAGTTCTCAGGTTGGTAACCGGTCTTGTATGGTTAGCTCATCAGAAAGAATGTTCAGAGGGTCCTTTGTCCTCCCGTCTGCCCTGGCTCCCTCAGCCTGCCACTCCTGTGCTAGGAGAATGGCCACCCTGTGCTCCCCTGGAGGAATTTTGGTCTGTCGGAGGGCAGGTGGTGGAGACACCATGGTGACCAGCATGCTGAGAAAGGGAGCGGCGCCCCGGACGAGGCGTCTGATGATGGACAGCGTGCGGCTGGCAGGGCAGAGGCGGGAGGAGGGGCCTTCTGGGCAGGGGCTCAGCTCTACAGGGATAGCTGCTTTGGGACACAGCCTGTGTGCAGGTGTGGACAGGCCCCTGTGTGGCTGGAGCTCATTGCACTAAGCACGGGGTGGCTGGACCGTGCGTTCAGGATTGGAAGGGGCTCGGCCAAGGGACCAGATCAATCAGAGGGGCTCCCTACTCTAGGAGACAACACCCCCGAGTTCTAGCGTCTGACTTCCTCCACACTGTGACATTGGCCAACTCCCTCCCCCTCTCTGGGCCTCAGTTTACCCACCTGTAAAATGCTGGGGTCAGAGCCCCCTTCACACTCTGCTCTGTGCTGTCTCGCTCCCCAGATGCCCTCCTCCTCCTTCTTGCTCCCCTCACCACCTCCATCTTTCAGATTCCGCTCTGCCGGGACTTTCTCTGGCCCCAAACTCTGTCCAGCTCACACTGTCACACATGTGCAGTCACCGTGGTCCCCTGTGGACCCCACAGCCACCCGCTAGATGGACCGACTCAGGGTCACCATCGTTTCCCAGTTTGCAGGGCAAGACTCCCAGGTCGAGAGAGACTTGCTCAGGGCCACTGGCTGCTAAGCAGATGCCTCCCTCACTCCCCAGGTGACCTTGGCCCCGAACCCTCTCAGTCCCCCTGCATCACGATGAGCCCCACCTTAGTGTGGACAAAGTGGGAGAGCGCTGGGAGCCGAGGCCTGGTGGGTGCAGGTGCTCAGATTGCACTTCGCTCTCTCTCTCTCTCAAAGCTTCCTCCCCGTCCTCCTGCCCCAGCCCTCCCTGGATCAATAAATTCATGAGAAGAGTACCGTGAGGGGAGGGAGTCAGAGGCCAGGTTCCAATCCCAGCCTCACCACTTTGCGGCCAGGGCAAAGTTGGGGCAAGTTATTTAACCTTCTGAACTTGAGTTACGCCACTTGCGAAAAATACCAATAAAAATCAAAAGGAGGGCAACACTCTAGTTGGAGAGAAGAGCAGTGATGTGGCCCGGGTGATGAGGTCCCCGAGGCCTGGGGAGCACCAGGTGGGGATGCTGTCCTGTTCTTCTGGTGGCAGTGGGAGCCATCAGGGACATTAACGGGCTGGTCCCTCTGGCTCTTCCCTGAGCTGCAGCTGTGACTTCATCAGAGCAGGATCTTATGAAGGGCTTCAGCACCCACCTGTTCCTGGACACCTCCCTCTGCATGTGTCAGGCACCGGCAGAGAGGCACCCACCCCAGAGACGGGGCTCTCTGCACTTCCGAAACCCGCTTTTACTGCTCACTGACATGGGAAGGGTCCTGGGGAGTGATGGGTGCCTTGCATTTGATCTCAGACCTCACTTTGGCACCTCCTGTTCAGTCTGGAGATGGCATGCAATAAGGGAACATAAAATCAATCATAATTCATGGGCTTCTAAAGATTCCCCATTCACTGTGGCATTTTGATGTTAATAGTGAAAAATAGAGTGCTTTTGCATTTGTTTTATTACCTTGCTTTCCAGCGAGCAAAGCTTGTGTATTTCAAAAATTCGGCACACATGCAGCTCCATCAAATTACTTTAAGCTACAATTTTTTTCCCCTACCTACAACTTTTTTTTTTTCCTGCTACCTTGGAAAATATAGTTCTTTCTTTCACTTTAACTTTGAAATCACTTTCCTTCATTGAATGTTTATTGAATGCCGGGCATTGAGCTGGATGCCATACATATAAATATGATCAGGCTCTGCACAGCAGGACTTTTGCCAGAAATAGGGCACTCTGATATATTTGGGGATCTCAGCGGTTCAGAGCCAGACAACGTAGAGATTATAGTGTGGACTGCCAGCATCTTGATCGGATCACTACCCAGTGGACCCTAAGCTGCGTTCCACCCAACCACGCCCAATCTAAGAGGCTGCTGGGGCAGACTTCTGGCTGTCTCCTCTGGTTCCCTCCTCTCAACAAGCTGCATGCTCACCTTTCCTGGCCGTTGCCGCAGTTCCTCTTGTTCAGAGATTCACTGGGTCATCCATTCAACGAGGATTTATTAAGGACCCACTGTGTGCCCGATTCAGCTCTGTGAATCGGAGTGGGGTGTGAAATCTGGCTGTCACCGTGCGTGCCTGGAGGAGCCATATGTTAGCGGGGCAGAGAGACTTGTAGGTCGAGAAGGCAGTCCAGGGAGCTGGATTCTGGGTGAGAGGTGAGCTAGTCAGCCTCTCTCGGGACTAGAGGGGGCTCCTACTTACGCCAAGCTGGAAAATCCAGGTTGCTTCTGCTGTAGGGTTTTCTGCTCTGATGAGAAGGAAGGGAGATAAAGTGTGTTTTGTTTCTGCCATTGTCAGACACTCTTTAGTGCTCATACATAATTGCGACTGTTGTTTAGAACCACCTGTGAGAAAAGAATGTGGATCCCATATAAAACCTAAGGAATTAAGGTTTTAATTCAGTGCAGAGTGCACTAGGCCCCAGGGGGGCCAGCATCCTGGAAGATGCTTTGGGTACCTCTTTTCCAAGATGAAAAAAATTTCACCTGCTGGCATGTTTTAGAATAAATAGACACATCCATGATGTTGTAGGCAGTGGCTCTTGTATCCTGAGAGCCTTTTAGGAAAAATGGAAATCTGTGTCTCATCTGGTCAAGTGTTTGCAAAGGCAGAACTGTTTGGTGTGACCATCAGGATGGACAGATGTCTCTTGGATTGGTAGCCAGGGGAGGGGCTGGCCCCAGAGATGGATGGCGGGGTGGGCTTGTGGCTCCAGCCCTCTGCACAGAAATCTGCTGAGGTAGGTAGTCATTACAGCTTTGCCCCCAGGAGCCACATCCGGAGGGGGAGAATGCACAGATTATGAAACCCCCCCAAAAGCAAACATTTCTAAGCCATATAAGCTGAGTGAGTGCCATGCTAATTGGTGCAAGTAATTTTCAAGTCCCATCCAGCTTCATGAATCTATGCCAATTGGAACTAGGTGGTTATTGGGGATAAGTATTCGCCATTCCTTTATTAATGATAATTAGGTTAATTGGTTGTTTTTGCACCATCATTGTCATTATGGAGCATGTCAAAGAGCTGCATCACCACCATCGAATTAGAAGGATCAAATGCTATTTCATTAATACTAATTAGACCGAGCGGTTCATTTTTATCAGGAGTTACAACTTCGTTGTTTTTGTTGATAACAATTAGAACCATCATTATTGTGTTGTTAACATTCGAATCTGTTAGCTAACTTGTCAGTCTCGGTAATGAATAGATTAACTGGTTATTTGTATATTTTTATTAATGGGAAAAGGAGAAGAGAGTGGAGCAACACTGTGTAACCTCTGGTGTGCTGGGCTCACGTACACGCCCCCGTGAATCCACACTGCGCTGAGAGCAAAGGGCTCCAGCCTTTCTCTTCCAGCTGTGGAGACCGAGGCATGAGCGGAAGTACGTTGCCCAAGTCTGTGGAGGTTGTGTGAGGCGACCAAGCTTTGGGCCCAGGCCCCCCAAAACCAAAGCCCTATTTTTTAATCTCTTTATACCATCATTACTACCACCAATAAAAGTATTCATAGTCAAATAGCTTTAGTTTAAAGTAACCTAATTTATGATCTGTAATTCAAATACTAGAAGAGCAGACAAGAAGTTGTGCCCTTGGTCAGAAACGCTGTGAGGGTCAAGGACGCCTGAACTCCTGCCTGGGTTTCCTGAAGAAGGTGAAGTGGGGAGTGGGCTTCAAGGTGGCCCTCCGTGATTCCCCTCGAGGTCAGCGTCCTCTGTGACTCTGCGTCTCCCCCAAGTTCATTCACGTTTGCATTCTTCTCCTCATGCCCCCACACAGCTCCTTCCCAGGCCGGCGGCGCCTGAGTGCTGATCGCAGACAGAGTCCATTCTCCGGGCTCATCCTGCCCCATCTCCCAAATGATCGTGTCTCTTCCTTCTTTTTTTTTTTTTTTAAAGATTTTATTTTATCTGAGAATGAGAGAGAGAACACGAGAGGAGAGAGGGTCAGAAGCAGAAGCAGACTCCCTCAGGGAGCCTGATGCGGGACTCGATCCTGGGACTCCAGGATCATGACCTGAGCCGAAGGCAGTCGCTTAACCAACTGAGCCACCCAGGCGCCCCATGTCTCTTCCTTCTTGAAGCACTTCCTTCTCTAGGTTTCTGACAGGACAGACCTTTGTTTCTCTGACAGTCCGGCCGCTGGGTCTGGGTCTGCGTCTCAATCTTCCCAGTCTTCCCACGTCCTAAAAGAACCGCACGAGCATCCCACACTTCACGTCCTGCAGAAAAGCCATGGATGCCCCCCTCATCCTCCAGCTGTGGCCCTGCCAGGTTCCCCATCTTGGCCGATGGCGCCACCAGCTTCCTGCTTGTTCTGGGCCAACATAGTCGGTGGGGGGGTGGGGGGGCGGTCTTTGATGCTTCTCTTCCTGTCACATACCCTAACTGCTGTTAAATCTTGTCAACTTGTCAATCTTGTCAAAACATATCCCAGGGCAGACCAGTTCTTGCTGTCTGCACTTCAAAAGCCCAGTAGGAACCATCACCACCCCTCACCCCTGTTCTCCCTGCCCTCCTCTGACTCGCCCCTTCACACTGACTCAGACTTCCTGCCGGGGCTGGCGCCATGCAGGAGGCCAAAATAGTAATAACACCCCCCCGCTAGGGGGTGGCAGTGGGCATGTTGTCCTGTCTGCCTTATCATGTTCATTCTCGAGGAATGGAGGCTTCATGACTCCACCTTAGAGACTGGGGAACTGGACCTTCATAAAGCAAGGGACTTGACATCTGGCTGGGAACTAGCAGATGGGGGTTCCATGTCCTGGACCCCAAGCGCAGGGACTGGCAATAAACGGGGACCGATACAGGGTCATGGGGCCATAGGCATAAAGGCCTCATAGAAGGCCAGGCATACAGTAGGCGCTTCTGTCTTCTGTCGGGGGAGTTCCGGGTATGAACGGCTATCCCTGGCCTCCAGGCTGATGGGCCCACGTGGCCAGGTCCTCCCCAGGCCCCACTCCTGCCCCACTGACCCTCCCCCGTGGCTCGCCAGAGGCCGTATCAGAGACCTTCTGAGTCTCCCCCAGAGTGGAGGTCCACTCTGCGAGAGGTGTCTGGTCCCCTGGAGGAGGCCGGTCACAGCCTTCCAGGATGTGGACATCAGAACCTCCCAAGGCCAGGTGGCTGTGCTGAGAAGAGCCTCTGCCCCTGTCCTGTGTCCCTGCCTGGTCGTCAGAAGGCACGGTGAGGCCCTCTGAGCAGGGTCCCCAGGGCACCAGCGGTGGGCGGGCTGACTTTGGGTCCTGGTTGCTGTTTCCTCCCTCACTACGTGTTTCTCACCTGGACTTACAAGGTGCTCCTTGTCCATGAGAGGAGTCTGGGGGCGAACAGCCTGTGCCCTCTGACCCCCAGCTGGAAACCGTTCCCCAGACCCTCTGTCAGCTGTCTGCACTGCCTCAGGCTTCAGCTTCTCTCTGCAAACAGCCACTACAGTTACTGAGTTTAATTACCGTGTGGGATTTTGCTCGTTTTCCTGAGTTTATGGCATCAGACAAGCAGGTCATTATTAAGCCCCTACTGTGTGCATAGCAATGAACCAGGTGCTGTGGGTCCTTACAAAGGAGGTGGATCAGACATGGTTGAGCCCGTATTGAAAGTTCTGGTCCCACTTAATACGCACACAGTCTTTTAGGAGAGCACACTGTCCGAGGGGGCGCTGGGGCAGAGGGCTCAGACCTGCGTGCCCAAGCTACGTAGACACTCTGCAGGGGTGAGTACAGGGGATGGCGGATGAAGTGACCAGGGTCCTTGCGTCTGAATGCCAGTTTGTTGCATATCAGTTTCCCTCCCAAGTTCCAGTTCTTCCTGTGTAAAATGGGATGGAATAGACCTACCTCACAGGATTGGCGGCAGATGGAAATGAGACAGAGGGTATAAAGTGCAAGGCAGATGAGGCACCGAGTGGGGGGTGGCCACCCCCTGCCCCTGCCCTGGTCCTTCTCCTACATCTGTGTTTTCTGCTTCCTCCTTGCATGGGTCCCTGCTTCTCTCATTGTGCTTCTAGTATTCTCGCAGTTAGAATATAAATAACCTGGAGTTATTTTAGGTGAGTGATTCCCAGACCTGACAGCGCTTCAGAATCCCTGGGGGAATGTTTCCAAAGTCCCTGACCCCTTGGGCTTGTGCCAGACCTGTCTCAGAGTCCAAACAAGGGGCCCGGGTACTGTACTTGTAACAAGTTTTCTGGGTGATTCTGCAGCAGCTGGCATATCGGGATCCTTTGGAGATGATGGCTGTGTGGCCTCAGGTGGAGTGCTTACCCTCTATGGGTCTCAGTTTTCATTATCATCAGATAAGGAGGTTTAGTTTCCAGTAGATGCTCACTAGTGATCCACTTACTCTAGGATGCTGTGAGGTCACAGCATCTTGCAGGGGGGTTGCAAGAAGCAAAGGAGGAAGGGGAAACAGAGTCAGAGGAGCGAGCTAGCCAGGAGGCCAGCTTCCCGGAGCAATCTGTTTGATAGTGCATGAAGCACTCCAGGGGCCATCACGGGCCCTGGAGTGTAAGGAGGGAGGAAGGCTGATGTGTTCAGATTGCAAGCAGAGGAGGGACTCAGAGGAGCCATGTGGTGTGGAGGGAGTATGAGACCCCAGGGGTCATCTTGAAGTTCGAGCAGGTCACCTGGAACGTGCCTTCTGGAGGTGGTCCTGGGAGTGTCACCAGCAGGGCCGTTGCTTGGCCAAGAGACGAGCAGAGCTGAGCCGGTGAGCCAGGTGGTGGGTCTGTATGGTGGTAGGGGGTGAGGGCACGAGCCTTCTCCGTGCTCTTCCTGGACCCACATGCGGCAGGGAGGACCCTGCCCAGGCCACCGTCCCGCTCTGGAGGGCCCCTCAGTTGTGTCTGTTTCAAGCACACATCTCCCAACGAAAGTAGATGCTACCTCTAAAGATGCACCGGGACTGAGCAGCTACAGGGACCCCAAGGTGCTTATGCTACCCAAATATTCCATGTCTGCGCCCATTGCTGACTCACATGCGCCCCCAGCGGGAGACAAGGCAATGGCCAAGGGAGCCACTTGTTAGTATTTATCGCCCTCTAGTGGCAACGTGGCATCATTCTCCCTGGACGCACAGCTCTCTCCTTAGTGCCCCTTAAATTCAGTTGAAGTCTTCAAACATTTATTGAGCACCTGCTATATACCAAGGGCTGGGTTTGTGTCTGTGACAGATGCAGAAGGAACAAGAGGGGCCTCCGGCTCAGAGGGCATGTGAGTCAGATGAACACGGTGATACCAGCCTTGAGCATGGAGGAGGGAGTGATTAATGGAGACCAGTGGAACTGGAGAGCGTCAGAGGTGGAGGCATGGAGAAGGGGGGCAAGGAGGGAACGCATACCTGGAGAGAGACCCGAGCAACAAAGCCAGAGCTCGTCTCTGAGAACGTGTGCCAGGCCCCGCTTGGCAGTGACCGGCGTGAGGGTGCAGAGAGGGAGGTGGGGGAAGGGCCTGGAAGGGTGCATAGTGCCGTTGGCAAGAAGGTCATCATCTGGACTGTGGTGCCGCTGAGGATTCTTAATCCATGGAGTAGTAGCTGGACCTTGTGAAATGAGTGGGTCCTGGGCGGGGGGCTCTCCAGAACCTGTGACTACTTAGGATTCTCAGCTCCTCTCCCTCTCCATGATCCTGGACCTGCGCGATGGCCAGAGACCCATAACTTCCTGTTTCTGACAGGATGACCTGGCCCGGTGCTTCTGTCCTCCCCACCCGCACCCCTCACCCTCAGTCCCACTGGGGCGCATGCCGGCAGGAGCTCTGGCTTGCGGTTCTGTTCCGCTTGTGGGGCCGGACCTGCGTCTGTTCCTGGCCACGGAAGGTGCCCTGAGTATCAGTGTAGAGAATGAATGAAGCTGCAGAGTGGGTGTCAAGACTGGTCTCCATAGAATCGTCCACAGAGCTTTCACGAGAACCAGCTCATGGCCCCACCCCAGACCCTACTGAATTAGGGGTCTGGGGCAGGAGGCCCATGTCATTCACGCCCCGTTATTCCATGCTGACTAGTGCTGGGAAACCACTGTGCTGCAAGATCTTTGTTACTAGCTTATTCCACTGTGCGTGTGCATGTGTGTGTGTGTGTGTACATGTGTGTAAACATGCAGGCA